GAACGATGATGAGTATGATTAGTACTAAAAATTTCAGGTAAATGTTGCTGAGTAGCAAAATCAATCACCATGGCTAAAATAACAAGATAATGTTTAGAGTTTATTTAAAGAGGTCAACAAAAAAAACAGAAAAACTGCATTATCTCTTGTGTTGTCGTATACTGTTTGAAATAGGAAGGCGGGCAGGCAGACGATGTATGTCACTTCTCATCGAGCTGTGTGTATAGGGTAAAGAAAAAAAAAAAAGGAGAAAAGAGAAAAATTCTAACCCATTTTCTTTCCTTTCGTTATGATGTGTTAGGTGTTGCTGCTTCTGTTCGATAAAAAAAAATACGAACAACATCAATGTATAATTGACATTATTATTACCAAGAAAAGAAGGAAAAAGAATTGCTGTCCATATTTTATCTATTTAGGATATATTCTATGATGTTACTAGTTCATAAACCTTGGATAGAAGAAAATTACATTCATATATATTCTTGTCATCCGATTAGTATTATTAATGTCATGTTAAAAAATGCGCAATAATAATGACGAATATTCTATGAAAAATAACCTGTATGAATTGATTAAGTAATGATAAAAAAAAATACTGATGAAGGACGAAAAAAAATGCTGATTATTCCGATTAATTTTCTGCAAGTAATGATTATTTACTCAGAGCAAATCGATATTTTTTCATTTCAAAACTTTTATTTGTTTTTTTTTTAAATAAATGAATCATATAATGATAACGTTACATACAACTGTGAAAAATAAAACACAATAATATCAACAGCTTTTTAACAGATTGTCATATACATAAGTCATACAAGACAACAAGAAAAACGATAAACAAAATGGCAATATTACTTCGCTCTCGCGTCTTTTTCTTTTTGCTTTCTTTCTAGTCGTTTCTACGAAGGCAAACGAAGAAAAAAAAACAGAAAGAAAAAGAAAGGTAGCCGGAGCCAACAACATCAAATCATCCCACTTTATCAAATATCACACACGAAATATATGTTTATATATATAAATGTGTATAAATATAGATACATATTTTTAAGTAGTACTCATATTAGAAACCATCTCTTTTTTTTCTTAATAAACTCAAAAAAACAGAACTACAAAAAAAAAGCATAATACCATACATCATTTATGATTTTTTACTTTTTTTAAAACACTTACGCAGTAACCCATATAGTAATATATATCAGGATTTCCGGAACAATGCTCAAATATGTTCTTTTCTTCCCAAACTCGTTTTTCTTCTTCTTTTTTTCTATCGTTTTACGAATCAGCCTTGCATACTTTTCTTCTGCGCATATGTGAATGTGTGTTCTTTTTTTTCCTGCTTTCTTTTTCGTCACCAACTGGGCTTTTTTTTCATCAATGTAGTAAACTTTTTTTTTACACGAACAAGACAGCAAAACGAATCGGACTTCTATGCGCTCGAATGTATATACAGTCTATTCTCTATTATCAATATCGTCTTAAGTTATAAATCAGCACAAAAACAAAACACAAAAACATACCTTTATAGAAAAAATGAGTTTTTACAAAGTAAAAAAAATTGATTTGAATATTAATGCATTAGTATTTACAAAAAAACCAATTAAAATATTTAAAAAAAAAAGTAATAAAAAATCATTTATTACACACCTTTATCTTGAATAGATTAAGTTAAAAGTTTTAATATGTTCACGTGAATGATCTACAAAAAACAAGAATTGAAAGAAAGGAAAAAAACCTAAATACACAATTGTTATTTCGTAATAAAATGAGTCAAGTTCGTAGGATTTTTTCAAGTATTCCATGAAAGATAAAATGTTTTTTCAGTAATAGGAAGTAACCTAAAAATCAAATTTATATTATGTTTTTGTCAAACCATATAATATAGCCTAATAACCATAATGATAAAAAAAACATATAAATATGATATGTGGAGGATAAATAGAAAAAATTGAGGAGAGAAGAAAGGCTTATGTTGTTTGCTTACTTCAGTACTCTCATCACAAAATAAAATGGGGTCATAATCGTGATAGTGGTTGATGATTGTAGCAGTCATATGAAGAGAACAAGCACGACGATTATTCTATCCTTGCGTGGGGAGGAAAACATTGGGCTGTCAAATCAAATTGTACATATTCGTTTTTATTTTTAACATGTAACGATTGTCGGAATATTTTCATTACTCATAGACGATCAACTACTTTTCGATAATGATCGAATATCCTTCAGCTGATGATTTATATATCTGTTTCTTTGAATATCTGTATACAAGTAGAAAAAAAAGACGATTGCAACGCATTGTACCGACAAAAGCTTGAGTACGAAAAATAAATGAAAAATTTATAGTGAAACAACAAAAGTTTATGAATAAACTAAATCAATACAGATATTTTAAAAAATGACCGAAATTATTATTGCTCAATTGCAAAGAAATCTATACTTCTCTACTTTGCTGTAATCTGTGAACTAGAATTTCTTTCTAAAATTGAAACTTTAAAACTCACAGGTTTATGAAGTTATTGCAAAACTAGTTTTAACCAAACAGAATCGAAACAGCAACCGAAAAAAACATTCTCTACATCTGCGTCATTTGATTATACACTCAATGGTAACATTCAAGATAGAAAAAGAAACAATCAAAAAAAAAATTATTATTTACTGTTAAAGTTTGTCTATAGCATCCGATTAAATAGTACTAAGTAAACATTTAAATCGTATTTTTTTTTTCAAAAACGAAAGTTTTAATTTTCCACTATATTACAAAAAAAAAATTAAAATAATCTTTAATATTGCAAAGGTACTCAACATTATTACAAATTCGAATACATTCTTTCGAAAAAAATAAAAAAGATCTGAAGCAATAATATTTATTTTTTACTTATGCTGTTGATTTTGTATGCATCATATCTTAGAAACTGGAAGGCATTCATTCGTGTTGTACATGATGTCATAGCAAAAAGAATTGAAGAACTACTTATTTGTTTCTAAATTCGTATTCTTTTTGTTTATATATTAAATGAAGATTTTTTTTCTTTATCACAAAAGAAGAAAATTATTGAATTAATATTCAAATGATTTCTACATACATTTAAGAACAAAAATAGTCAATTTCCGATTATCATAATCGATAATAAACTAAAACATCTAGAAAAATAGAAAACAAATAGAATACAAATATTTAATATGTGTTCTATAAAGTGGAATGTAAATTATATTGTATTGTTTTCATAATGATAAGATTGATAGAAATGTGTAAATAATATTTTTATTTGTTTCTATGAAAACAAAAAAAAAATTTGTATATTATTTCATTTGTTTTCTTTTATATTCCAAGAAATATTTTATAGAGAAAAAAGAGGAAGACAGCAGCTGATTCTTAAAAAAAAAATAACCAATCAATGATATGTTTTTTACGTTCTTTGCATAAGAGAATTTTTTATTGGTTTCATAGTTAACTAATAGCATTTATGTTGGATCAGAATAATAATTCATTGACTTTCTTGTAGTATTATTTAAATCAATGTTTGAACACAGAGCTGTTTTTCTTTTGTTTTTCAAATTCAAATTGTTGTCAAGATCTTCATCTATATTCAAAGAAATGAATTGAAGATTCAATAGAAACGAAAATAGATATTATTTGATTTACATCAAGATTATTTTATATTCTTAAACATCAATTGTTTTTATTGAGTTGGTTAGCAACCTAATAAGGTAAAGATTCATGTATATACACTTTTGTACAAATACATGATATTCGTTCACTCTAATAATATTCTTTCGACAGAATCTCGTGCCGATATCCCTTTAACAGATGTTCTACCATGTGATCTTATGATGTCACATGGTAAAACAACACTTCTCGTGAGGGAGAAAAATCAGCTTTAATATTCCTGTATATTCAGAGGGGAACCTCCATTATAGAACATATCTCTCACATAATTACAAAGAAAACTTAGAAAACTACTATGCATGCCACACTATTTTTATTAAAACATTGCGATATTTTATTTTTTTTTATAGTTTTGTTTTGTTTTATTTTAGTACTTAACATTGAGGTGATACGTCATGGTATATCGATAATAAATCGATATGAGTTGCCATATAACCATTGCCAATAAGCATAGTTCATATGAAAGGAGGTGATCAGTAGACCCACTTTCTTGAAAAAGAACTCGTTTATAGAATCATGTGCTGCCGCAGGTCTAAGTTCTTGGTATGAGTGTATAATAAAGTATGCGAATTATTATGTATTTTGCTGTGTTTATTTTTTCTTGCTGAATTTCAATACAATAATAAATATAACTATGTTTCATTGAATTTATTTTGGTCAACCTTTTTTATAAAACGAAATTGAATAGTTATGTTATAATGAGGGTACCACCCCAAGTGACACCTGTCGACGACCTCATATTGGAACCACGGATAGGTCTCGGTGACAATAGCAAACATTTTTAAAGGTTAATCCAAGTTGGTCTTTAGCGTCAAGTTATGACTAGTTTACTAAATTTTCGACTCACTTTTTAGGTACTTTCCCCAAGACCGAACAATAAAGTTTTGACCAAAACTTTTGCCTATATATAAACGTAATGACTCTTCAAATATCTTCAATGTTTCAACCGAAAAGAATGCTCTTTCGTCGAGTTATTGAATTTCTAAATGCAATTAATCTTTGTGACAAAGGACAGTTTTTAGAAGATTCAATCTCTTGACGAAGGAGCAGTTTGTTCGGCTGAAATTTTCGAAATATCCTAACAGTCATTAGACCTATCGACCGGTGGAATTTTCGATCAAAATTCTGTTATTCAATCTTCGGAGGAGTACCTAAAAATGAATTGAATACCTAGTAAACTGTGGATAACTCGACGACAAAGGCACATGAGAGTAAATTCTTTTAGGATTTTGATAGTCTCAGTGAAATCCGTCTGTGGGTCCAATATTAGTTCAAATAGCCGGTGTCATCTGGAGTAGTTCTCTCGTTAGTCTATCGTCATAAATTTTATTTGTAGATGACAAGTGTTTCTATTTCTCAACAAGAATCATTACCCCGAAATTCAAATAGGTATGTTTAAGTTTTTTACAATTTGAGTTACTCTATCTTTGAAAACTTTTAGTTCTGCAAACGATATTTCTTCTCGTCAAACAGAATCAAATTTATCTGATATTCATTCACGCTGTTGGACTTTTTTATTTGATAACTTAAAAAGATCTATTGAACAAATCTATCAAACATGTGAATCTGATCAAAATCCATTACAATGCCAAGTCAGTTTTTTTTATTTATTTGGGAATTTTTTTTTCAATTATTTATTTTTCGTTCTAGGAAGTTATACAATTCCTTTGTCAATATTGTAAAAATTTTGAAATACTTATAAAAAAACAGCAAAGTCTTCCTAATGAAACAAAAAGGTAAAATAAAACAAAAGAAAAAAACAAAGAACGTTCAATAGGATTTCAAATTAAAAAAATAATAATAATCAATTTTCAGAGAATATCTTAGCACTTCATTAATTACATTACCAATACGAACAAAAAATTCATCTTTCAGGTTATTTGCTTACTTTGATTCTTTCCCGCTCTGATTTAATTGAAACTTGTTTTTATTTTTAAAATAAAATAATTTATTCTAGTTTGTCTTTTATTTAGGTCATTTGAACATTCTCAATCAATTTGTAATGGTAATTTTAGGAAAAAATATATTTCGAATAATCAAGAATAATTTATTTTTGTGAAAAAAAGATCTAAAAGGAGTCTTGAAGTATATAAGTAGAAAATTGTATTTCCTTCCTCTGCAAAGATCCTGACAGACGCTCGCTAGTAGAGCCCACCTGATTGGTTCTAGACTCGGATCCGATGGGCTGAGTAGTGTCACATATCCAAAATTTTAGAGATGCACCCACATCTCTCGCAGGAGATGCCGCATCTCCCGCGGGAGACGCGGAATCTCCTTCAGGAAACGCGGTCATTTTTCACTGGAGATGTATCATCTTCTTCAGAGATGCACATCCCCCGCACCCACACTCACATCTCTCGCAGTGAATGCCGCATCTCCCGCGCTAGACGTGGATGCATCTCCAAAATTTTGAATGTGTGTACTGCTGAAAACCTGGAAAAAGTATTTCGCATCTTTGAAGTGGCTATCCTATTACCATAAGAAATTCTCGTGGAAAGTAACAAAGTACGGTATGATCGGATCCGAAAGTTTTTTACTGAGCAAGCTCTACTCGCCAGTGACCATCGTAGATCGTCATAGTCGCTAACTAGAAACCATTACCGACCGTAAACCAATAACAGCTCGTTACAATATGTTGACTACTTTTTTATTGTATTTTTGAAGGGTTAAATCAAGTAAGGACGAAGGAATGTATCGTAAGATAGACAGAATAAAACAATCTCTATGTGATTAGCAATAGTAGCCATATTGTGTTTCACATTTTAATCCCACGGGATTGTGTTAACAGATTTCCTTGTTAAATCAGATGAAATATTCAATTCTAATGAATTATCACATCGGCAAAAATCTTTGCATAATAATGATATAAATTTAAATATAAACAATTCATCACATCATCGTTCTTCGAATGATTCAATGAAATTAAAACGTCAAAAATCAAATAAACATCGTACATCAATTGATAGTGCAAGTTTACTCTCATTACCATCATTATTTTCCTCATCAACATTAATTAATGAATCTTCGACGACATTAATTGGAAGTACAAATCAGTCATTATTTTCAATTAAAAAGCCATTAACTGATGAAACAGTTGAAGATGCCGATGATGAAAAAGATATTCATGATGATTTGATAAATGTGAATCGATACCATCGATATTACCGGCAGTTATCTATAACATCACATCATCGGATGAAGCAACAAAGTGTAACATCAGAAGAAGATGATGAAGAATTATTATTGAGAAATCATCGAGGAATGGTGGATTTTATGGATCGAGTAAGGTTGTTTTATATGATAATGATAAAATTATAAATTAAAAATACACTTTTAAGTTCTTTTTCAATAACTTTATGTTACCAATGAAAACGAGCAACTTTAACCTTATTTTCATTCAATAATATAACTTATGATAGAAGGTAGCGACGGATATCAATCATTAGGCTTAGCTTCATTAGAAAAATCAGTACTTTTTAGTAAAACCAATGTTCTTTAAAATATGTTACGACCTTCAAATAGTTGGAGGTATTATCTGACGGGGTCATCTATCCCGAACTTTTTTCAAAAATTTTTCATTCGGAAAAACTAATGAACTATACCTTATTAGATGCAGTTTCCTATACTGATTCTAAATTCATCGTTACTTTTTTCTGAATGTTCTTTTGAGCAAATAAAGCTTCTCGAATACTCGGAGAAATGAAGGTTTTTTAAAACCTATTTCTCTGTCAAACATCATTTGCGTACACATATTTACCACATAACATAGAGAAGACTAGTCACAAAAAGATTCATTCAAATTAGAGCCATAGAAAATGTATAACGTCATTTTACCGAAGACGTCTTTTTAGATAACGAGAGAGATGAGAGACCAGGTCTTTTTGATTTCAATCCCAAGACTGAAGCTCATACCACACATCTCTATGGATAAATTTTAGTGCAAAAAAAAAACAGATTACTTTTTCTAATAGGAAAGAGATGAAACTTACATTTTCTTACGAATTGGTTGAACAAAAGCTTTATTTTCAGACTATTTAAAATTTGCTTATCCACTCATCCTGTCTTATCTGAGAAAAACATTTTGTTCTGAGGTCGCTGAAAAATGTCCTTATTTCATGGCCAAGGTTGTTCAAGTAAACAAAGAGGTCGAAACAAAATCTTTCGCTTCATTTAACTAACCATATATCAAAAGTCTCGCTTCCATTTTTCCACAAAATACTTGTTTAGTTGCTCACTATTCGTCATTATTAACGATGTATCGCTAGTATAGTGCCCATCAGAGAATAATCTATTGGTATACTGTCGTAGAATGACGATCAAAGGATAGTTGACATTGCAAATATCATATCACCATTGGTTGGTTTTCCATAGAGCGCACATAATACAGATGGCTTTAGCCTGGTTCGAATCATAGAAATGTTAGTTTCAAATTTCCGTACAGAAACTTTTATAAAACATCACTTGAAAGGAGTGTTGAACTATACGAGTAGAAATTTCAAATTCCCTCCTATAAATAGAGCAGACATTCCTAGTAATGTTCTCTCCCCACGTCAAACATCGTATATCAATAACGTCTCGTTACATTATATGAACTATTTCTTTATTGCATATTTTAAGAATTACGTAACGTTATAGCGAAGAAATACGTCTCAAAATAGATAGAATAGAACAACCTCTCTATGATAAACAACAGCAACTGCATTGTATTTCACTTTTTAACTCTGTAGAAATTGTGCTAAGAGTTTATTCATTTGTCTCCATTTTGAACGTACTCGATTCAAAAAATGCTGGATTTTTTGTTTATTTGATATGAAATTTTGAATCAAAACGACATGAATAAGCATGTTTTTTTGTTTTTGTAGCAAATATTCGATGTATTTGATCAAGAAGAATCATTAACTGCTGCATTGGAAGCAGAACAAGAACGAGCCATTGCTTCATTAATGGCTGAACAAGAAGATCTTGAACAACAATTAAAAAATGTTAGCGATGATGATCTTTTATTAGGTGTTGATGATGGTTCAGAATTAGAAGAAAGTGAACTATCGGTAAATAGTAAAACAAAAAGAAACATTTCTCATCTGAGTTTATTTTTTTCTATGTCTTTTTAATAGACAACCAAAACGTCAAGCTATTTTATGTCATTACCGGGTGATCAAGATGAAAAAGATTCAAGTCTAATCGATCTTTCACGTGATGATAATGATTCTGATTTTGATGGAAAATCACGAACAAAACATCAACGTCTTTATGAAAAATTATCAACACCTTCACGTATTCGGTATTATTCTTATATTAATCCTCAATATTAATGCATAAATTCTCTTGTTTTTTTGCAGACCTTTGAGTGAAACGCTTCGTGAAGCAGCTGAACGTCAAGGTATTCGAATATATTTTTCTTCTATTTTTTATTTATTTTTATGTAATTAGCACGAGCATTAAGAAAACGACAAACATTACGTGATGAAAAGGCTCGTAAATTACGTGAATTAACTCAAAGAGTAAAATAAAATCACTTATAAAGAAATATATTTTCATACATTTTTGAATAAATATTTCAGGTAAATGAAGTTCGTCAATGGAAAGAAGAATTAATAAAAGCACGTAAAACTACAATCGAAATAAAAATGCAACGTGCTGAAGAAAAACGTCAATATTTATTATTATTAAAAGCTAAAAAGGCTGGTGATGAAGATTTAAAAGGCCAAGAAATTGCATTTATTAAATGTTTACAACAAGAAAATCGTCGACAAACATTAAAAGAACGTTATCAAAAAGAAGAACAATATAAACAATATCTTGAAGAAGAACGTGTTAGAAAACATGATGAACATAAACAAAAAGAGTTAGCTGCAGAAAATCGACGAAAAGAATTAGAAGCTATACGACAAACACGTCTTAATGAGATGCAAGAAAAATGGAAAACAAAAGAACGAATGATTGAACAACATTTAAATGAAAGACGAAAGCAAAAACAAACGGCAGCTATTGCTAAACAAAAGTAAATTGAAGTTTTCTTTAAAGCACAAGAAAAAAGATAGAGCGATCTGTAGTAAAACAAAAAACACAGACTAGAGCACTTGTGCCATAATGCCTTTCATTGATCCTAAATACATTGTAGTTCGAAGCGTAGATATATATCCGATAATCTGTAGTTATATTAATGATACATTGATGAAGTTTAGTACTACAATAGATAATAAACTTTGCTTTGAACCTATTACAATGAGATTGGTTTGTTTTGAGTCTACAAAGACGCGAATTGATCCTATCTCTGTTATAATTGACAAAGGGAGGTCCGCAGATGTCCACTGCTCATCTAAATGGCTTTTTGCTCGTAGAGAATACATAATATTCTAGCAGAAATCTTAGAATGATTTGAGTTCCTACTGAAACTTACCAGACCTATGCCTATTTTTCAGAGAGCCGAGCTTTTCGGAAAAGTCATGTTTTTGAATTTAGTCTTCAAACTATCTTGATTTGAATGTTTCATATGCAGCAGCTTTTATAAAGAGTTTCAGAGTTAGTAGACTTTATTTCTCCAAGCTATGAACTTTTCAACATACTATTATCTTATTTACTAAGCTTCAAAAAGTGTCTATTTTTGAAAAGTTCATAACTCGGAGAGATGAAGTCCACCATGAGATTCTTCATAAAAGCTACTGTATGTGAGCTTTTGAAATGGAGATGGGTTTCAGACAAAATTTGAAAAACGAAAATTTTCAAAAACCTCCCAGGTCCACTGTTCCGATCGCCGGAACCGTTTGTTTCCTTTGTTTTCCGGCAGCGGATCCTATAGATTCCGTTGGTTTTCGGTCGGCTCTGTTGACTTCCGGCGATTTCTTGACTACAGGATTCCGGTTCAGTTTTCGCCGGAAAAATTCCGTTAAGTTCCGCAAAATTTCGACCAGGAATTCGTCGGAAATCGACGGAACCGATGGAAACTGATCGGAACTGGTCCGACGAAATCTGGACCGGAATCCTGTAGTAGAGAAATCGTCGGAATTCAACGGAATCGATTGGTTCCGACGTATCGAGCTTGACCTGGGCTGAGAATTTCTGAACAACTGGAAATTCAATAGCGCCACTAAGTCGCAAAAGGAACTCAAATCCTTCTAAAACTTTCACTAACACGCTATCTACGATCTATAGGCAAAAAAATCATTGAAACTGTAAGGAGATATGTCATAAGGCTTCCTCATAAGTCATTGGATCTCAATGAACCATCTTCATTACAAGTGCATAAGCTGTAAAACGATGTTTTGTGCATGCTCACTTAATATAAATATCAGAATTTCAGAGTTTTAAGCAGAGCTGAACATAGAACAGACTGGTTCTGTCTCATTCCTAAACAAGACAAGCAAGAACATGACGCATGAACTTGTCTTCTAGTTTTGTCTGCTTTTATAATGAGCAAACTGAAGCGATGTAGTATTGAATTAGTGAATGGTTGATTAAAAGTTTAAGATTGATATATTCAATAAAAATAGAGAAGAATGACAGGAATGACTATAAATGTAATATAAAACTTTATGCTAATTCGATTCATATTAAAGTTCAGAATTCAGCTAACATAAACCTACTATTGACCTATTTTAATAATTTTCATAAAAATTATGAAGGAAAATTTGAATTTTCCTGTGGCATAATTAGATCAAGTCAATTGATATCAGCTATTTCCACAAATTGTGAAATACAGTTTTCTGGAATTTAACTAGTTAAACTCAAAACAAGAAGCTAATTTTAATACAGATCCATTAGATCAAATCTTATTTGCATTTTTATTAAATAAATTATTATTTAAGGAGGACCCCCTCAGAAACCAACTTTGTTATTTTTCGTCTGATTTCAACCAAATTTTGGGAGAATATTAGTCTAGGCCAGGATAGACTGTGGGCGAAGTATCTCCTTCCAAACCACAATATACTAACGAGTTATAGTCAATTTATTAGTCAAAAATTCCGTTTACGCAGGCAAGGTTTTCGATACAATGATACTGGCTAAGCATGTCGGCGTGGTTCTTAAATTGTAGAGCACCCTTAGGGCTAGATCCTAATAGAGTTCGATTTTTGAATTTCCCTTCGTTTGGTTTTTAAAAAACGTTTTTCGAAAAATTCTCGAATTCATGGTCAAAAAAGTCGCTAAACAAAACGGAAGATTCAAGTTTTTTATTTCAGCAGAAGAGAAATTCAAAAATCGGGCTCTATTAGGATCTAGCCCCTTTTGTCCTCTATGCAATAAGAAAAAATTATCCCTTCTCTATTGAGTCGTTATTAAGAAAGGCGTGCCCGCGTAAACGGTATACTCGAAAAAACTGATTTTGAGAAAAACGGAAAATAAGTTTTTAAAAGCCTTATTTTTTCCAATATGGAAGTTCAGAACAACTTATGTAATATTCTTAAAGCTCGTCATAAAATCAATCAACTATAGTGCATTCGAGAGTAGACACTTTGCTCTATCTAATGAGTTATAAATCACAAAATCGATAAATTTGACAAAAATTGATTTTTTTGAGGGCCCCCTCCCCTTAAGGAGATATCGATTTTCTTTGAAAGTAGAATGAAATCAATAGACTGGAGATTGACTGCCAATAATTTGATATCTGTTTGAAAGTAACAATCATGGCCTGGACTCTCCTCTAATTAGGATTTTGACACTAGGTAATTTTCTTATTTATTCGATAATCAGCTGTTATTTCATAATTCATTTTGTGTTTTAGAAGTTTTCAAAAGAAGCGTGCGGAGCGTGTCGAATATCTCAAAGCATCAACTGTTGAATTGAAGAAAAAATTAGCATTGAAAGTTTGTTCAATTTTTGCTTTTACGCTACTTTTTTTATCTTAATTTATATTTTTTCTCTTTTTGTTTACAGCAAGAAGAAAGCGCGCGACGATATATCACTCAACTCGAAGAAATCCGTCGAAAAGCAATGGAAATGAGTACCTTACGTGGTCCAAGTGCTGAAGATCATCATCATGTATCTCCAGTAGATGATGATTCTAAAACAACAACATCAATAACAAATATTCCAACGAGTGAAGAACTTGTTGCAACTCGTAAATGTTGTACACTATGTAATTTATTGGTTAGTCTTGTTGATTTTTTTTGTCTGACAACTAATCATTGATAAACTTAATTGAACAAACGGTTTTTTTTTTGTAGTTAGCTTCTGATCTTCATTTACAAACACATTTACGTGGTACACGTCATAATCAATTATTAATTGAAAGATTCAATCAAAAGAATGACAATGCTGCAAAGAAACAACCTACACAAGAAGAACTTGTAAGAAATCATGTTTCGATTTTCTTTTTATAAAAGTAAAAAAACAACAAACGAACACTCTTTTAGAATACATTTAATACAGAATGTATAGTAGTTGTTACAAGTGATGATATTGTCCGACAACAAGTAGCTTATAATCGAGAACGAAAACATGCAATGAAAAAACGAGCTAAAAAATTACGTCTTCGTATGACTCAACGGTAAATTTACATCTATGCTACATGAAAGACACATTTTAATCGTATTTGGTTTTGTGGATAGTTTTAATTCAATATGATCTATGAAAGATATCAAATAGTGATTTCGATAAACTCGCAGAATAGATTATAAGATTGAGATAAAGATGCTTTCTTCAGTTCGGTTAGTTGAGTATCTATTGCATGACTTGTTTTACTTCAATGGGCACATTTTCAAGATACTTTTAATATTTTATGACACTTACTATTCAATAATCAGTAAAAAGTCTTTTAAACATCACTCGATGCAAAATCGAACAGACTCTATTTTTATAAAAGATATTTTTTGAATATCATTATTATTAATTTACAGGTATAGAAAAGTTTAGCTTTAACTTGTGAATACATCATTAGAAAGAGTATTGACAAATGTACAAGTCTGTACATTATTTATGTCGAAACGATTCGTTCAACAATATGAGATTTATTGTAATTTGAATGATATTTTCTAATTCTTCTTTTTCGATAAGACGTTTAACTAAACTAAACTCGTTGCACACACTAAAAAGCGCATTACATAGAGAGAGCAATAAAGCCTCATTTGAAAGAGTCAACTCAGCTCTGTAAAATATACGAACAAAAAAAGTCATTTTTAATGATTATGAAATAGCGAAACATTGATAAAACATTCAAAATGTCTTCAAAATTTGTGCATTGAAGCAAAACAACTCATGCAGTAGAAATTCAAATGACTCATCATAAGAAAACATTTATATTTCGGTTTTGTAGTCCATTCTGAGGATCTATTAAAATCACAATTTGATGTCTTGCATAGACTATGTTCCAATACAACTATTCGTAAAGCAGAAAAAAGTGTCTTAAATTCTTGTCTTCTACTCTATATTATCTATTATTTAAAAATTGTAGTTCGACAGCATATGAAATTGAAAATGCTCAACGACCTTACTTAACTTCGACACATAAAGCACGGTAAATCAAAAAGAAGAAGACGACATACAAATCCAATATTTGAATAAATTTACTTGATTCTTCTAGTATTCAACGATTTTTAAACGAATTAGAAAAATCTTTGAGTACAACAGCAAGAAAAGAACCATTAAACACAACAAATTATCTAGTATGTCAACGTATTCTTACTGAATTTGTTAAAATCTTCGATACACATGGTTATGAAAAGGTAAAAAATTTTTCGGATATATTTCAAAATTATTGTTTGTCAAATGAATTTTTTTCAGGATTCGCCACTAGAACAACGTGTATTCTTTAGTTTAAATGGTTATTCGACATTAAATAAAATGATTGAATTAAGAGCAGAATGTAATAAACCAGCACTTGCACCTGAAAGGTAATCTTGTTTTTTTATAAACTTAAATACAGAATGGTCCAAAAGTCACCCAATAGTCTTTGTTTACGAATAACTTTCGCTAAGAACATTAAAGAGAGATGCAGCTTTTCTAGTTCCAAAGAAACTGTGTCTCTGCATGATCTTATATGGGGTTCAGCAATGTCAATCAATCGACTTCAGAAAAATATTGATAGCTCTATAGAGAGGGTAGAACTAGGATAATTCGTCGTACGACATGTTCGTCCATACGTATTTTGACGGAGTATTGAAAGTGAATGAGTGTGGATGCGTTAAAAATTCTTACTCACACCGATATCCACAAATCCGTGATGAATTGCCTGATCACCGAAGATGACACAGAACTTAAATTTAAAGAAGTGTATTAAAGCTGTGTTCACATTCAAATCCGAAACTTTTAGTAATTGTGATTTATTTAAATATCGTAACTGTCACACTACACGGTGAGAATGTTAATATTTTAAGAAAATATACTTTTGGGCTGAAATTTTCTAGACATTGTAATGACCATAGGATCTATCTATAAATAAATTTTCATAACTGAAATTTGTCATATATGCATTACCTGAGGCAGAAAATACAGGGAAACAGTCGTAACTCAAGAAGAACAGTTTACGGGTACGAACCACACTGATATCAACTTGTGGACAATATATCGACTTAATCGGCGGGTTACAGTTGAAGATTTTCCCTCGTTAGAATTAAACTTTTAGTGTCATGTTGTTACAACTGTCAGTGTTTTTCTGAACGTCACGGACTGACAATTCGGTAATCAATCGACATTCTTGAATCTTACATGAAACCGTACAGTGATACAGCTTCTTTTGAATGATGAAAGTTGCAACTCATTATATTGTTCTTAGTCAAAGTTATTCGTAAACAAAAGCTAAGTGCTGGATCAATCTATATTAATTTGTTTAAATAATTTAGTCTTATTGCACTTACTGTCTCCGTCTATCGAGCGGCAACGTATAATAATCTTGATAATGCAGTTTATCTTCTGAATAGTGGTAAAATTTTAACACTTATAGAAAGTTTTGTTCGACATATGAATGTAAGTAGACAATTAATTGAATTTTATTGAGAAATTTAAAAAAAACAATTTTTCTAGGGTTTAAAAAGTGATATTTTAATAATAAATAATGATCAAAGTGAAAGTGAAAAATTAGCTCAAATTGATTTAGTGTCTAATTTAGCTAAAACACTTACTGATTTACTTTTAATGTATAATTCAATAGCAAAAGAAATAAGAAGTCGTGATAATGAAAGTAAAGAAGATAAATTAACAATGAGTCGTTTAACAGATTTAATTAGGTAAAATAGAAAAAACAAAGATATTTCGATTATTTTTAAGAATTTCTATCATTTAGTTATATGGCTAATGTTGGCGTTCTTGATCGTATAGCATCATTCTTTCATACAGCACGTGCAATTATTAATACAACAAAGTTATGTATACCAGATATGATTATTCATTGTTTGAATCTTTTACAACAAATGGTTGATTTTTCAAAACAAAAGTAAATTGTTTTATATTTATTTATATAATATAAAACGATTCTATCAACTAGATCATATTTGCCTCTATTTGATCAATCATCAAAGAAATCCATTAATGATCCAGCACAAGTCTTAAGTATAATGAAGTCAACCAATTTTTGCGACATTCTTTCATTACTTTATGGTATTCTTATACATGAAGCCGATAATAATAATCAAATTATTACTGAGAATAATAATAATATTAATAATAACAATAATAATAATAATAATACGATTACTTTACATGAAAAAACCATTACTATTGTAATTAATTCAATGATATTATTAAACAGAATAGCTTCATTAGATCTTGATGCATTTCAAGTAAGGAAATTCAATTGGTTATTAGGGGACGCTCCGCTTTCACGACTAATTTCAAGAATTAATACATAACTTTGAAAGTCGATAAGCTAGGAGACGATGGAATATTTTCGCTGTTTTTCAAAAATGTGGTTTTCGATAAAAACAGTTGAGAATCAAAGCTGAAACTTTATTCAAGTTATACTAGAAAATGTTTAGAGGATCTCATTTCTTGTTTCAAAATATGGTATACCACTGGGTCTTGCCAAGGTTTACATAAAAACACTCATACATTTTTGAGAGTATGCTCAGTATTTTGATCTTTTTAATCCAATATAAGACAATAGAAAGACACAAAAAACAGTAGACGCCCCAAGCAGTGTTTAATATTTGTAAAAAAATTTGCCTCTATCAAATGTGTTGTAGATGAAGAGATCGGGCGACTTTTAGCTTTTGCGACCTTAATATCTTCTAGAAAGAAACATCTGGGAATTTGGAGTCTATGACAATTTTTACTCTGTTCATCGAGATATATCTTTTCTAGAGGTTTTAAAATTTTTTGATGAGCCGCTCTGCAAAAGTGCTACAAAGGGCTCGTCTGATTGGGAAAAGCTTCGTCCTTTTTTTGATCATTTCTTGAATTTCAAAGATTATACGTCCACAATCAGACTGAAACTTTCACTACAGATACAGCACCCAAAATAAGAAAACAGCTATTCGAGAATAGGTTTTCGCGGTTGGTTCCGAAAAACTCTATATTTTTCTTAGGGCTGTCTGATGTCACATTATGTTCCCTCTCTAACTTTGTCTGATCGAGTTCATATTATCATTACCTGGAAATTGAGTTTATCCTTTAGACGTTAAATCGACTGCTTTCATTTCTGACCTTCCTATTCAGATTTATAGGATTCTATGGGTCAGCATCCCTGCTTTGAATACGAGCCTTTACATTGTATTTCTCATGAAACAGTAAGACACATTTCCAAAAAAGCTCACAGTAACCTCTAATATATAGTATTAACTACGATCCTAGGGAAAGCTGGAATTTTCTCGAAAAAATCACGAAAATCTTGTTTTAAAGTTTCTTTCTTCGAACATGTCTCTTTATTTCTGATGATTCATTTGCGGTAAAAACTTCAGCCTGATCGAAGGTATTCTGTTCGAGAACTATTAATGGCAAAAAACAGGACGGAAAATACCTATAATTGATTTCATGGTGAGCGATGCAAACGACACACCTTTATTACAGCTATATCTTACGATAGTAACAACGAAAGTATCTAAAACTTTCACAATAAATTTTTCCGATAGAAACATGTCTCTATCAATACAGTATTCTCACAGCAATCACCCATGGACCTGACTCATATTCCAACATTCATATTTCATTAGGGCCCGTATAATATACATAGTCTCAATTCAAAAACAATAAATTAATTTGCGAGACTTTCTTCGTTAGATCGTTCTTTCATTCAAACCACGACCTTTTCCTTATGTTCTAATCTCGTTATTTTTTCTTTACTAAAAAATCTAAGCAAGAAGAATCGTTTATATTCTAAATTTGAAGAAAAGACATCGTTGACTTTGCTTTTAGACTATTCTTGGTGAAGAAACCATCTCTCTCCAACTTCGGCATATAGCTAATTATATTCTTGCTTATTGTAATCATAAACAAACAACAAATAATGATAATCTTTTACATGAAATTATTCTTCTTATTGGTTATTATTGTGTATTAAATCAAGATAATCAAGTAGATTAAGTTTTTTTCATTGATAATTTTTGACAAAACAAAAAAACAATTAAATATTCTTTTTTTTGTTTGTTTTAGTGCCGCATGGCATTTGGTAATCGGCCAACTGTACTTCAACAATTATCATGTTTACCATTTCGGTATTTTGTTGAATCAAAATATATGGATATACTTTTTCCAACATTAATATCTTGTTCATATGATTGTGATACAACACGAGCAATACTTCAAACTGAAATGTCACTTGATCTTATTGCAAATTTCATTGAAGTAATTTCATTTTTATAATATTTATTCGATTAAATTTTATTATTAAATAGATAAAATTAACTGAAACAAAAACGATCAATGAAATCGATAATCACTCAGTTATTTCTGCATTTTACATGCGGTTTCCATATGATGAATGGAATAATGCATTGCGATACTATCGACCAATATCAAAACGTATTGATAAACATTATAATGATGAAGAAAAAGAAAATGAATCTCATCGAATTGATACTGAAATTCAATCCTAAAAGAGTAGTTTTTATTTTTTTCTGTCCAAATCTCATTGACGTATCTATGTTATTGTCCAAATGTGCGTCTTTCGCTTTATTTTTTTCAATCGGTCATTAAACAAAACGTTGACTCATTGTAATTTAATTCCAGTGTCTTTTTTTGTATAAACCAAATTTCTTGTATATTAAAAAAAAGACATTTTCCGTGCTTGTTAAACATTTTTCTAATAAACTTTTAAACATAATGCTTTTTATAGAAAACAAGTAATTCAATTTGATCAATGCATGTTTGTTTCGAGTTTTTTCTTTGAATAATTAAATGGATCTAATATCGATTTTGGAGGTTTGAATCTCAATCGTAACTGGCATTAAAGCTGCTATTCCATATGATAACTACTGAGAAACTACTGCCGGTATACCCATTGGTATCGTGTGTTATAGTGGCGATTTTTTTTGAAGATACTGTGCCATGGTGTATTGTATGAAAAGGGGTGAATAACTTTTGAAATCTGTTAAAACTGACGAAATTTAGTTGTCTTCGACATAATGTTAATGCGCCTGAGTTGCTTGTGCTAACCATAGACCCAAAATCGGTGTCAGATATGAAACTAGTTTTTATTAATAAAATTTATTCTGAACCTATTTTCTCGGTTAAGTTGAATTGTTTCTACAAAACCATTAGAGTCTGAGTAGAAAACACTCTGCAATCGTTTATAGCTGGAAGCGAAAGTTGTAAGTGCTACTGTCGGTAGTACAAAGACACGTACGACATGTATTGTGAAGAGTTTCTGTAATAATTTATTTGACTTTGCTAATATCGTTGTCACAATCGTCTCTAATCATATGTTTATTTTATCATATTATTGTGAACATTTATTAGCTATTTTCAACTCAACCATTAATAATTAAAACCAGAAGATGATAAAAAATTGCATTAATACTTGAAATAATAATAAAATGTATTGAACGTCTTCTTGCAAGATACGCTACTGTAGATCAATCAAAAATATTCCGTGTAACAATATGATTAAGGCTCTTTGAAACAGAGATAGGTGAGAATTTTTTTAAATAACCTATGTTAGAAACAAGGTGGAAAGCTGCAGTTTCCATCTTTAGAAAGAGAAGATGAAGGCATATCGAATCGTTGGTAACAAATTTTTCTGATCTGTTCCTTTTAGATTTTCAACCGATCTTTTTGAAAATCAACTCATCCTGTGAGATGACTATAGTGAATTTTCAGTTATCAAATATGCATCCGAATGACCCATGGATGACTCACAAAACCAAGCAAGCCATAGGTTTTTAGATTTAGTTATTCAGGAGTTGTCGGTATTCTAGGCAAAGCCCTTGGTCGATTTTTAAAGCGACTGTTGTCGAAAAATCACTTTTTTTCGTACATTTGATTAAAAAAGTCCAGAGAGCATCTACCTGTAATCCCTATCCAATATTGTCTAAATTGTAAGATAGATAATTAATTTTTCATCATGAAAGTTTGATTCAATTTACTTTCTCGCCTGTTCTTTATTCGAAGAGCACCAGTTTTTCTGTTGAGTCTCACTTGTAGAATCATCATTCAAGAAAACTTCTGAAGTTATAGTTGT